TTGAAGGGACGTTTGAAACTTTTAGATCTGGCACAAGGAATTAAGTCTCTGGGTTCTGATCAAGCTTGCTGTCTACTTCCTTCTGTGGTATGGACCACTTAAGAGGGATCCACCACTATCAGTGTATCTGTAGTCTGAGAACTTATATTACATACCAGACATGCTGGGGATATCAGATACCATGGATTTTAACTAATAGTTTTCCTCATAGAAAATAAGGAAGTAAGATAACAGTCTTGTTCTGGCAATTCTTAACTCATGGTTGGTGGTTTGGCTGGTTTTCTTCCTGGGCTGTTTGGGTGGGTTTGTTGTATCTTCTTTCCTCTTCCATTCTCTCTTGTTTTCATATACTTGTGATATACTCTAAGTGCAATTTTATTATCTTATTTTCCCATTTAACACTAATTTAAAGGCATTTGTATGGGTTGCAGTTTGGCTCAGAAGAGAGAACACTCATGCCTTTTGGAAGATTAGATTGAATTCCATTACCCAGTGATGCAAACTCCAGGATCTGAACCATCTAGAAATCAGGGTCTGGGCAGACTGGGACAATCAGCTTCTGTTCAGGCGCAGTCGGTCACCTAGGTACTACTGCCCTCTTCTCCTGGCCGATGGTAGATTCCATTTGATAACGAGGAGAGCTCAATGTCCTTAAAGTAGAAGCACAGAGGTTAGGTGCACCAGGATGGTGTAAATCCTGGATGGAGGTGAGGGTTAGCTGACTGAAATTGCATAATGTAGGGTCTGACATGAAGAAGGTACTCAGAAGATGTCATTTGCCTTTCTGAGCCCAGGAGGGTTCTCCAGCTTTCTTCGGTGTGGTCAGTTAGAAACAGGATGCTGCCGTTGATTTAGTTTGCCTCCCATGGAAGAGAGCATTTCCTGAATTTAAACCACCCAGAGAATGAACGGGGAATGAGTCAACATAAAAGATAAACACAAAAAAGTAAAAAGTTAAAAAACAAAAAAAGTGCTCACTTCAGCAGCACATATATTAAAAGTGGAACAATACAGAGAAGATTAGCATGGCCCCTGTGCAAGGATGACAACGCAAATTCGTGAAGCATTCCATATTTTTGTTTTAAAAAAAAAGCTGAAAAGCTATATAATGAAATACTAAGTGTGGTTTTTTTGGATAATGAGTTTAAGGGGATTTTTATTTTCTTTTTGCTTGTGTGTATTTTCTCAAGTTTTTAATGCAATTTTTATTTAAACAAACTTTAAATTTTAGAACAGTTTTAGATTTACAGGAAAATTGCAAAGAGAGTACGGAGTCCCCACATACGCTATGCTGGGTTTCCGCTGTTACTAGCGTCTTACATTGGCATGGTACAGTTAGCGCAGTTAATGAGCCAATATTAATACATTATTAAATAAAGTCCTTAGTTTTTAACTAGTGTTCTTTTTCTGTTCCAGGATCCTATCTGAAACAGAAATTACATTTGGTCATTATAACATTATTTTTTAAATACCGGAATTCATATATATTACTTACAAGGTGTGTTCTTTATCAGAGATGTGGTCTAATGGACACAAAATTTAGCTGGTCTTCACCATAACTAGAAGTTAAAGCAGAGTTTACTTTTTCCAGTCTGGATCTGGTGTGGCCTTATCCTTACCTCATTAAGTGCTGTATACAGAGAAATTCTTAGAGGCCAAGTTTATGACAAAATAGTTTAAGTGGTGAATATGGGTGGTAATTTACCTTCATGAAAAGCCCAAACTCAACTGAGGTGGATTTCTGGCCTAGATTTCAAGATGAGCATTTCAGAGGACAAGATGTCCTTTAGGTCAAATGAGAAATGAGTTTTTGGGCCAATGAAAACAAGAGGCCCTCGTTTTTCTTATAACAAGGCCCTTTGGCCTTAGAAAAGCCTTGTTTGACCGCCCATTAGGATTCTGATGCCTCACTTGGTACTGCAAGTTCTCTTATCTTTGTGATGGTACTGGGCCTTCCCCTTCAGAGTGGGCCAGAAATTGTGGTTAGGTAACACATCAGCCCGGGCTGGAGTGGAAGAAGGGGTTTGAAGGGATATCTGGGGACTACTGCAGACCCTCTTGTCCTTAATCCCCACAACAGGTTTCTTAGGAAATAACCAGCTCATATCAAATAGGGCGTCTCAAGTGGTCACATGTGAGATCTGGAGGGAGACTGGAGCCATGAATGCTGCAAGTCAGTTTCCATCCGCAAACGAATGACCTAGCCTTTCATTGCTCTGGCTTGAGGGCAGTGAGAAGTTTAAAACTATGGGAAGGTGTTATACCTCTCCCATGGCTTTAAACTTGGAGAAGTTGTTATTAGGATAGCGCTGGTTCTAAGAGTACAGGCCAAGTATACTGCAGAAATCCAAACATGAACAGATCTCAGAAGGATTCATCCCATAGTTCCTTAAATAACTGACTTGATTTCTTTCAAGAAAAAAGGGTAAAATAATGTATTTATACTTCACATTTAGAAGGTTTCGTTTCTTTAGTGATAACCTGGAGGAAATAACTATTTACAAAATATTTTGTTTCTGATCCAGATTTCATACTTTAACAAGTATTTTTTTCAGCACTCTACTGTGTGTTGGCAATACACTGGTGAGCAAGACATTCTGCCCTCCTGGAGCTTATGGTTCCAGTGCAGGAAACAGACTACAGAGTGGTGAGTGGCTCCTCAATAATGGGACATACATAATTGAACATCTGAGCACATGTAAATTTCATTAAGCTCCACTGAGAAAAGGTGTTCTTGAGATGTAAATTCAACCAGAAATCCACACTGCTTTCCTTGGTTTTTTTAGCTCCCTTGGTTTAAGCATCTTGTTATTCACTCATGATGCAGAAGCTGCTTTTCCCACCTGCACGGTGCTTGGCTGAATTACTTCAATACACCTGGCTCCATCCACCCTTCATGTGGTGTGAATTGAGAGGGGCCCCCCTGCCTTGGGTGCTGTCCTAGGAAGCTTTTAAGAATTTTGGCATTTTCTTTTCTTTTGTTGACTGACTAATGGAGGCTACATGTGTATATAGAATTCTTACACAGCATTTACAAATAAGGTTTCATACAATTGTTAGTCTACCATTCCTAAAAGGGTAGTACTCGTTTTCTGTCCCCTATGGCATGTAGACCTGCCCAGTATTGATCTCTGTCAAATGTTCCACTGGACCCAGGGGAGGACTGGAAGCTTTATTTGGCAGCAGTGTTGACAAATCCTTAGTTCCCTATTAAATCTGTAGGGAAAGAAGGCAAAAATGAAATGCTGATGGTTTATTGCAAAAACCTAAGGGGCCTGTGCTGAAACTAGCTCAGCCATTGAGTTTTGACACCTCAGCTTACCTTACAGCTATCTAAAGAAATTATTTTCCATAAAGATAAATTTAAGAAATATAGCCCCTGCAAGTTGTGAGATGAGAGAAAAAGGATGTCATCACGCTAAAAAGGCTGAAATTTTTCAGCTCTGCAATTTGTTTTTCTAGGAAGATTCACCCTGAGCTAATATCTCTGCCAATCTTCCTCTATTTTGTATGTGGGTTGCAGCTTCTACATGACTGAGGAGTGGTGTAGGTCCAAGGCCCGGATCCCCCAAACTTAACCACTATGCAAGGGGTTGCCTCCCCCCACTTTTTTCGTTAAGGAAATCAAAATTTGAAAGATGGTGGTGTGGTTGGGAAGAAAAATGAACTTGGCCACAGAGACGGTTCAGATCTCTGCTCTGCCACTTAACCAGGTTGTTTTCATAATTTTGGTTAGGTCCTCTAAAATTTGAATGATAAAATTCACCCTGCTTTCAGCAGAGGAGTCCTGTGAATGACGTGTAAGTGCACTGTAAAGTGAGCATAATACAGTAAGGTCATGACTGAGACTGCCTTATTTTGTAGGCTTTGCCTGTGGTTTCTATTCATTCACCCGGGCATCACCAGCTTGGAACACCATTTGGAACCCGTGCTTAGGATAATAAGTAGCTTTAAAACTAAGTTTATATCTCTTCAGAGTGGGGTGAAATTTCTGGAGAACATTCCTGTAATATTGTAGCTTTTGGTGACCTTTCTAAAAGGTGGCAAGCACGATTTTTCAAGGTAGAGCCTGATGTCAACTAGGACCTGGATATCAAATGGAGATGGGCCTGCTACCTTCCTGGACTGTTCATTTGCACTGTGCTTTAAGATTTTCTCAAATAGCATCTAGTTCTCACACAACCAGAAGCTCACACTCATATTATGGATGAGCTAAATGTTAGCGTGCTTGAGTGACTCAAATGCAGGCTTCTGACTACACCCACTGCATTATACATGCCGGAGAGTGAATTTCTTGGCCATGACCTCAATCAATTTGTTCCAATTTGTGGCTCATTCCAAGGCTGGTGAATTGTCTAAGAATGGATCGGGCTGGGCTAGGACTGATTCTGAACGCTGGTAATGAAGGCACTTAACAGGCTGGCCTTGTGCCAGTGGTTAAGTTCCTGTGCTCCGCTTCAGCAGCACAGGAGTTTCCAGGTTTGGATCCTGGGCGCGGACCTAGCAGCGTTCATCAAGCCATGCTAAGGCAGCGACCCACATAGCACAACTGGAAGGACCTACGGACTAGAATATACAACTATGTACTGGAGGGCTTTGGGGAGAAGAAGAAGAAAAAAGATTGGCAACAGATGTTAGCTCAAGGCCAATCTTTAAAAAAAAGAAAAGAGACACTTAAATATTTAGAAATGAGCATCAAGTAAGGGCCACTCCTTCCCAGAACCCTGCCCCATCTATCCCGCGTCCTGACGGCTGGTCTACCCCATATTGCCCTCAGGTCCTCGGGCTGCGGTGCAGACGGGAGACCAGTGGGCATAAGCTAGGCTAAAAATGGGCTTCCATGGGTCGGGGACCAGGGCTTGGCTCTGGAATGAGACTCACATGCGGGTCCAGGGTCGCGCAGATGCTGCGGACACTCGCGCCAGGCGGACCACAGCGACTACAGTCCCCGGCATGCCCCGCGGCCGCCCGCTCGGCCCGGCGCGCGTGCGCGCTGGCACCGCCGAGCGCCGACTGGGTCCGAGCGGTGGAGCCGCCAGCCTGAGCAGGTTGGCGCTGAGGTGGCGCGGAGGCGAGGCGGCGGAGCAGCTGGACATCCGCTGTGGGGCAGGTCAGTTCGGGGCGAGAGGTCGGCCGAGACTTGCGGGGCCCGGCGCCCGCACGGCCCGTCCTGTGTGGACGCGGGGGCGGCTGTGGACAGACCGACGGAGGGGCCGCAGGGGTCGCGGAGGGGACAAGCGCTGGTCCCGGCCGCAGAGAGCGGCGCGGCCGGCCTTGGCTCGCGCGGCGCGTGGGGCGGCTCCGGCTGTCGGCGGCCGCGCGGGCTCCTGCGGTCCGGGCGCGGCGCCTGCGGGCGGGGCGGTGGTCGGACCCGCGCCGCCTGCGTCCTCGCTCGGGGGGCCGGGCCTCGAGCCCCCGGCGGCGCAGCCGGGCCGGCAGGAGGCGGGGCCGCGGCGGGCGAGCTCAGGCCCGGGGGCTCGGCCCGGCGCATCCCCCACCCCGGCAGCTGGGAGCGGTCTTTCAGAGCGCACCCCATGCCGGGCGCCTGTTTCTTTTTCCTTTGGGAAGAACGGCTGCCTCGGGCGCGTTTACACAGCACACTTCCTCAGGTGTCACTGGAGACTTAGGTTGAAGATTCAGGTCGGGTCCAGGGTCAGGCTCAGATTCGGGCCGAGACGCGGAGCACGCTGTAAAATGTGTTTGTATTTCAACTTTGGGGAAATTGAGGCATGTATTAGCGAGGATCACCGACTGGGGTTAGGATTGGAATTTTGAAAATTATTCTCATACTTAGGTTAATGATGCAGGATGCTTTTTATATGGGGTGGGGTGGGGGCGTTTTAAAGTTTCTTTTCTATGACAGATGACTGTGTCGTATTTGCCAGCCTTGTGCTGCACGTGAGGTTTGTGGTGGGTTCTGGCTCTTTTTTGGTGGGATGTTTAGAGGTGTCCAGTAATATACTTCACCCTTCTTTCTTCTTCTTTCTTGGTAAATTCAAGTTCGTAATCAGACTCTGATTCACAAAAACTGAATTTTCAACTCTGACTTGTTTACTTGTAGCTTTTGTGATAAAGTTGATAGATACACATACAGTTCCTACTTTTCTTCCTCATCTCTTTTCCTTATCTTCTGATTCTCTCTGAACGCTAAGCAATAGTTAGTATCTTCTTTGTTTTACATGTTTGTTTCTGTTCTCCATGATTAGTTGGTAACTGATTCTAAATAAAGGTCGATATTCCAGTTTTTTGATAATGCTAAATGCATGTAGCCTTTTCAGAACTAGTTGTCACATTAGCCTGGACATTAGGTGTGCAGGGGTCTGGAAGAGCAGGGAGGGGGCAAGGGGTTTCTGTTGATCAGATATGGGTACCAGGTGAACATGACCCGTGACCAGAGGATTAACTTTAAAAGGCTGTGAACAAAAACTGTTTAAATATAAAAGGGCATACTAATCTTGTGGATTTGGGAACTTGTCAGGTTGACAGTCAGTGAACTAGAGTAATAATAGCTCACAGAAATGAACTGACATCAGGGTGAAATATGGAGACGGGAACTCAGGAGAGAATTGTCTGTTTTAGCACACAGCCATCTTTCTGTGCCTGGAGTGTATGCTGGGAACACCTTATTGGCTTAGAAACTTGGTGTTCTGAGTGTTTGTGTTTTTAGTTTCTCTCTTCTTAGTTCTCAATGAGAGTTTTGGCAGGAGCCCAAAAATCTTGTACAGTTGACGCTTTAACAGCTTCATCTCCTTATTCTCCAGATTGTCCCTGTTCCTCTGCTGGGGACATCAGTAATTTTCCACAGTAGCCATTCATGAACTCATGCAGACTGTCACATGGCAGTAGACTAGCACAGAGGGTGGTAAAAACGGAAGAAATAAGGATCCTGTTTCTTTGCCATTACATGTTACACACAGGCTGAGACAGAAAATCTGGACTGAACACAAGCTATGTGGGAGGGCTTAGAACACGAGAGTCCCGGCTTCCACATACAGTAGTAATCATCGATTCTCTTGATTGAATGTCTTCCGTTTGCCAGGGGTGTAGCTGTAACAGGGAGGTGTAGTTCATTCTCATTTTGTATATGTGTAAGTCAAAGCACACAGGTTAGGTGGTTTGCCTACAGACATAGTGACAGAGCCAGAATTCAAATTCCAGTCTGCCTGACTCTGACACCCCTGCTCTTTCTCTTGTGCTGTACTGCCTTCCAGCAAATACCGTCCAGTCCTTCTCATTCTTAAAAAAATATAAAACTTTCCTGTGATCACATCTCTTCTTCAGACTATTACCATTTCCCCTCCTTTTCCTTTCTAGACTTGTTCTTAAAAAGCAAACTCTATGCTCTTGTCCGCCATTTACTCCTTAGTTCACTGCTGTCTGGCTTCTACCCCCAACTCTGTTGAAATTGCTCTCATGAGCTCCACTCAGCCATTTATTGAATACCTGTCGTATGTACCATCTTCTAGACTTACAAAGAGGCTAAAACATGGCTCTTGCCCTGAGGGAGCTTAGGGACTAAAGAGAGAGAAAGAGTTTCATACGTGTCAGTATGATGTGTTAATTGCTGATGGAGCAGTCTTTGCTCTTGGGAGCTGGAGAAGGAACACTTCACTGAGAAGTGAGCTGCCGGCAGAGAGAAACTCTAAATTGTTCCAGACGGCGGTGTCAGGGTTGCTTGTGTAGGTCTGGAGTTTTAGGAGAAGCTGTATCTCACCAGTGAGCGATGATACAGTTGAAATGCACCGTGTAAGCCTTACAGTCTGGTGGGCCTGGGAACTGAGCTTTAATTTCCTCTTTTATAATACCTGCCTACAACGTAAGCTCTATGAAAGTAGGGCCTTTCTCTTTTTCACCACCTCAACCCTGTCTCCCAGAACAGTGGAAGGGGGTCAAGAAACATTTGTTCAATGAGTACCTCATAGGATGTTGTGTTCAGCACATAGTTGGTACTAGTACTCGCGACATAGCATATGACCGAAATAATGAGGCTCACTTTCAGTGTGGGTTATGAACTGACTTTGAAGACCCCATTGTTTGAATAGTAGATGTATAATCACCTCCCTTTCTTTTTTCTTTTGTTTTTTAAGATTTTATTTTTCCTTTTTTTTCCCCAAAGCCCCCCAGTACATAGTTGTGTATTTTCAGTTCTGGGTCCTTCTAGTTGTGGCATGTGGGATCCCGCCTCAGCATGGCTTGATGAGTGGTGCCATTTCTGCGCCCAGGATCTGAACCGGTGAAACCCTGGGCCGCCGAAGCAGAATGCACGAACTTAACCACTCGGCCACGGGGCCGGTCCCACCTCCCTTTCTTTTTGAACATTTAGGTTTGTGACTTTATGGTCACAATTCATAAAGGGGGAGAGACATTCACCTCTTTTCTGTAGGCACAGTTAGCTGTTACCTGTCTTCGCTTCTAATATCATGCCTCTCTTCCAGTTATAAACACATTCCTGCTTTTTCTAAGTGCTTGTGATGTAGGTTTTGTATGTGTGTTTTTTCCTCTGCTAATGATGTGAATTGTTTTGCGAAGTTAACTTCTTTGGAACCATTAAATAGCTTTATCAAGAAGAGTAACGTTAGAAATAAGATTGAAAGCCCCAATTAAGTTACCAGAAGGTTGGTTTTAGGAAAGGCCTGGTTTCCAATTAGGACTAAGAAGATTTTTTCTTAACAAAATGATATGACTGTTCCTGGCCTTCTCTAGATATCTAGTTAGCCTTCTAGCTAACATTCTAAAGACGTGAAACAATAGATCATTTCTCTCTTGTGTTTGAGTTTCATTTGTAAATATCTTTAATATATGTGACTTGAGGTTAGGGTTAAAGTCCAAATACCACCTTTTTTTTTTTTTTTTTTGATGAGGAAGGTTGGCCCTGAGCTAACATCTGTTGCCAGTCTTCCTCTTTTTGCTTGAGAAGATTGTCGCTGAGCTAACATCTGTGCAATCTCCCTCCATTTTATGTAGGATGCTGCCACAGCTTGGCTTAATGAGCAGTGCTGGGTCCATGCCTGGGATCCGAACCTGTGAACCCCGGGCCACCGAAGCGGAGTGCACGAACTTAACCACTATGCCACTGGTGCGGCCCCCACCTTTTTTTTTTTTTTTTAACTTTTGAAGTCAGTAGAGTATAGTAATTAAGAGTACCTACGATGAAGTTAAATTCTGTGTCTACCACTTTAAACTTTGAAAACTTAACACAAGTGGTATAACTTCCCAGTGCCTCATTCTGCTCATCTACAAAATCACGATAGTTACTACCACCACCACCACTCATGATAATAGCTAATATTTACTGGGTGTTTACTATATATGAGGCACACTTCTAAGAATTTTACGTATATTAACTCAATCTTCATAACCACCATATGTATTATTAGTGTTACACCCACTTAAGGTGAGGAAACAGTCACAGAGATGCTAAGTAACTTGCTCAAGGTCACACGAATAAGTAGTAGAGTCAGGATTTGAACCCGGGTAGTCAGACTCCAGAGTTTGTGCTCGTAACCTTCTCCTTCATAGGGTTGTTTTGAAGCTTAAATAAAATAATCTGTGGAAAGTGTGTGTGACAGGCAGGCAGTGAGTCCCGGCTACCACAGTTAGCTTTGAGTTTATAAAGCATTTCACGTGTATTTTCTTATTTGGCGTCGTAAGTACGACAAGTGTTGTCGTGATCATCACCAGCTCACAGACAGGAACTGAGGCCTAGTGTGGTGGCTTGCCCGAAGTCACAGAGCAGGTGAGGAGGCAGTGCCCTGGCTCTGCTCCTCTGCCACACCTGGATTCTCATGTTGATTTTAAGGCATCTCGTTTTGAGAGAGGTTAGTGGACATGTTGTTTTGGCCTGCCCAGCTTCCAGTCCAGGTTTTTTTGGGAATAGCAGCTCATGGTGCTTTGAGGACGCAATCCATCCCTGACCAAGAAGGTGGTGGTCACACGACCCCCGGTTAGGCCAGCAGGGGGTAGGCAGATAGATGTGTTCCTCCTCTAATTTGAATCTGAGGTGGAATGACACAGTGAAGACAGTCGCAGCTCCCTTATCACAGTCAGGAGTTAATTCCTAATCTGTAGACACGGGAGCTGTTCTGTTATTTGTTCTCAAGACCTGATTCT